CTGGCCTTGGTGAGCTCACAATAGATCAGCCCCACTGTCTCTGTGGGTGGGTGCACCCCTCGTGGTCCTGACTTCTTTGCTCATATTTTCCCTCCTTCTGCTCCTCCTTGGGACATTGAGAGCTCAGTCCGGTGCTCCAGTGTGGGTCTCTGTCTCTATCTCCATCCATGTCCAGATGAAGGTTCTATGGTGATATGCAAGATATTCATCAGTATGGCTATAGGATAGGGTCATTTCAGGTTTAAAAAACCCAGTATAAAGAAAACACAAATTGAAGGAATTCTGGAAATGGAAAATATGGGAAAACAATCAGGAACCACAAGTGCAAGCATAAACAGCAAAATACTAGAGATGGAAGAGAGAATCTCGAGCGCTGAAGATACAATAGAGGAAATAGACTCATCTGCCAAAGAAAACATAAAATCTAACAGAAGCTTAACACAAAATATCCAGGAAATATGGGACTTCATGAAAAAAACAAACCTAAGAATAATAGAGATAGAAGAAGTCCAACTGAAAAGCACAGAAAATATATTCAAAATCACATAAGAAAACTTTCCAAACCTAAAGAAAGTTATGAAGATGAAGATAGAAGAAGCTTACAGAACATCAAATAGACTGAACCAAAAAAAAAGTCCCCTTGCCACATAATAATCAAAACACTAAACATACAGAATAAAGAAAGAATATTAAGAGCTGCAAAGGAAAAAGGTTAATTAACATATAAAGGCTGACGTATCGAAATTACACCTGACTTCTCAGTGGAAACAATGAAAGCCAAAAGGTCCTGGTCAAGTGTTATGCAGACATTAAAAGACCACAGATGCCAGCCCAGACTACTATATCTAGCAAAACTTTCAATCACCATAGACAAACAAAACAAGATATTACATGTCAGAACCAGATTTAACCAATACTATCCACAAACCCAGCCCTACACAAAGTACTAGAAGGAAAACGCCAACCCAAGGAAGTGACTACATCCACAAAAACACCGACAGTAGATGATCTCACAGCAGCAAATCCCAAAGAAGGGGAAAACACACACAATAACATCACTAACCACAAAAACTAAAATACCAAGAACTAGCAATCACCAGTCATTAATATCCCTTTACATAAATGGACTCAACTCACCTATAAAAAGACACAGGGTAACAAATTGTATAAAAACCCAGTAAGATTTTCTAACTTTAATTTCAGATAGAGTGTTAGGTATCGCTTTTTTTAAAAATAAGAAAGAAAAAATAGGGGTTTTTATTACATTTATTTATTTTGTGTGTGCACACTCATGTATGTGTACAGGCATCCGTGTGGAAATCCAAGAACAACTTACAAGAGTCCCTAGGAATTGAGCTCAGGTCCCCAGGCAGCAGGGCAGCACACGCTTTCCCCACTGAGCCCTTTCACCAGCTCTAATCCTGTCTTCACAAGCTAGCCCTGCATGATGAAGGATCTAAGGAAATACATGGAACAGTAGACTTAGGTTGTGGTTTTAAAGGAAGATTTTAATTTTAATTTATATGTATGGATTTTTGCCTGAATATATGTCTGTACATCATATGTGTGCCTGGTGTCCTCAGAGGCCAGAAGAAGGTGATGGCGCCCCAGGAACTGGAGCCACAGGTGGTTGACAGCTCTAACAGTGCTGTCCCCTGAGGAGCAGCCAGTGCTCTTCATCACTGGTCCATTTCTCTAGCCCCAACTTGGTTTTTTTTTTCCCTTGTTTGTTTGTCTAAACATACTAAAAAATGTATATGAAAAATCTTAGATTTAAAAGATTAGTATAATTTATAATTGTATTAAAACTGGAATATGTAAAGCTATATTATATAAGAGGATCCTAATGTCAAGTAAAATTATATAGTATTCTTTTAACATGGCCTAAGAAAGATGAATATTTTTGAGAATTATATGTAAGCTAGGGGCATTATTAAAATCCTGGCTTTACATCATCTTTAGTAACAAGGCATTAACCATGTTCCCCAGAAAGAATTACTTTAGACTCGGCCTCCTTAGGAAACATGGCTGGCTCCTCGTGAAGGACAGGGCCAGAGTCTTAGACTTCATATCTGAGAGTGCTTTCTTAGTATTATTACCAGCATCTATATTTGATATTACATGGATAGAAAATGCACTGGGAGGGGGGCTAGGAACATGACTCAGTCAGTAACAGTGAACACCATGCAAGCTTGAGGATCAGTGGCTAGATCCCAAGTACCCACGTAAAAGCCAGACATGGCAGCCTTTGATCCTGGAACTGAGAAGGCAGAGACAGGGAATCCCTGGGACTTAGCAGCTAGTCACCAAGCCCAGGTTCAGTGAGAAACCGGTCTCAAAAATTAAGGTAGAATGCAGTTGAGTAAGATGCCAAACATAGGCCTCTCTGTTCTACACTTTCGCACACACACCAACCCCAATACACACACTTACTCGGGGCAGGTTCAGGCTTGGGACATGTCAGTGTCAGTTTTGCTAAGCCATTAGGCGAAGGTTATCAGGGACTACTTTTCCTATTACATTCTTCGAGGTACCGGACAATAAGACGGACTGTGTTACCTGTTCCTATTCCAGAGGGGTGTGGCCATCTTAGAGCTAGACTTTCAATGACTGAAGAGGGTCCTCTAACCCTAGGACACAGCAGAGAAGAAGGAGGCTGCAGGCAGGACCACATGCTTTCAAGAGAAGACAGTGTTTACCTGAAGTCTAAACCACGGCCTTCCACGGGGGCAGATGACCCACATAAGAAGAGCAGTCTCTTTTTACTATACCAGCTATTAGAAGTAGAAACGAAATTGTATGATGAGCAAAGGAAAATTTCTACAGACGCCAAAGAAATAAGCTAGTTAGTACTTTACCCCAATGATTTTATAAAACTAAAATCCACAATATCTGCTTAGAAGGAAAGTTATGTTTGTTGAATAGCACATTGTTTCTTGAATACAGTTTTTGAAACTAAAGAAATAAAGATCTTCAAGACATTCTAGCAATTATGTTTACTTATAGCTCAAAATTTTATGTGTAACAGCAATGTTTTGAGGCTAATGGAAAATTATTGAAAAACTTAGGGGAAAATGTAAAACTTGGTGTAATTTACTGTAGAGAGAAATAGCAAAATGGAAAACATATTTGAACTCCTCTTCCACTGGTACATTATTTCAGAGTGAAATCCTAGACGTCTGATCTGGATGTTGGACCCCTTGTTCTCAGGCATGAACCTAGCGTAGCTGTAATCTGTGGAGTGGCAGCAAGGAGCCTTTCATAGAGCAGACAGAAACTCTCCGTAGTATGTGTTTAATAGACCAGTTTGGTTTGGCATCAGCTTGACATAAACTTTTGGTTATCCAAAGCCCTTAATTGCTTTGAAGTAAAATCCCAGTGCTGCTCTTTTTTATTAAAGTCATGTTTTTTCCTGTTGTTGTGGTCTATTTTGGAAGACTGAGTTGTGATTTTTGCATATGTTCTACATAATGCCTCATTAGCAAAAAAATCTTGTATCATTTACAAGTAGCCTGAATGTCTGTTGTTTTGAACAAAAATCCATATTAAAATTTAAACAATATAAAACTGCACATTTTCTGCTTATTAAAAAGGCTGTCTTAGACTAAATGCAAAGCAGTAACCAGTGGGCACATGTATGTGAGCACTGAAATCAGAACAGTTTCACCTTTTATTTACTTTTTCAAGTCCAAAAA